TGTGAGGGCAGAGGGGCGGTGTGTGAGGGCAGAGGGGCGCTCCCGGGGGCGGTGTGCGAGGGGGCCGTTACCCGAGGGGAATATGGTGTGTAGGGACGAGACCGTTGCTCAGGGGAGATATGGAATGGGGACACGGGTACGAGGCTGTGCCCCAAAGGGGGATGTCGTCTGTGGTGAGGGCCATCCTCTGGGGAGTGTGGCGTGGGGACAGGGCTGTGTCTGAGGCGATGTGGCGTGGGGACAGGGCCGTGTCTGAGCGATGTGGTGTGGGGACAGGGCCGTGTCTGGGGGGATGTGGGGTGGGGACAGGGCCGTGCCTGAAGGTTTCGGGGAGGGGGACGAGTGGTGTGGGGACGGGCCATCCTCTGAGCGATGTGGTGTGGGGACAGGGCCGTGTCTGAGGCGATGTGGCGTGGGGACAGGGCCGTGTCTGAGCGATGTGGTGTGGGGACAGGGCCGTGTCTGAGGCGATGTGGTGTGGGGACAGGGCTGTGTCTGAGCGATGTGGTGTGGGGACAGGGCCGTTTCTTGGGGGATGTAGTGCAGGGACATGGTTGTCCCTGAAGGTTTCTGGTATGGGGACAAGGCTGCTCCACAAAGCGGGTATGGTATCGGGACAAAGCTGAGGACAAACCCTTCCCCAAAGGGAGGTATGGTTTGAGGAGAGGACTGCTTCTTGGGGAGTTGAGTTGGGGTTCAGCTGCTTCCCAGCGTTGCTGTTGAGGGACAGGTAAGTCAACCTGTAAGACCTGTGTGTGGTCAACACAGATATGGGAGCACAGACACAATGCTGTTCCTGCAAGTGAGATGTCAGGCACGGCAGTGCAGCAACATATGTTCCTACTCTGGTGTCCTTTGCCTGGATCCTAGCAGCACGGAGGTGATTTTATAGAGATTATTTGGTTTCCACTTTCTTAGATGCATCCCTAGATGCATAGATGCTACTTATTGGGAAGTAGCTAATTGCCATTTTCTGACGGTGGTAGGGGAGTAGTTTCATAGGGTGAATCAGTAGGAAAAGAATTCCGGAGTCCTGCTGCTGTGTTTCTGCATCCTGAGTGCTTTAGGACATAGTCCTCTCAGCTGACCTGATTACTTTACATTTGTGATTAATGTTTGCTTGTTTTCCTGACTAGGCCTAAATGAAGTCTACATCTTCATGTCATTCTGCTTTTTTCACATCAGCAGCATAGTATCTGTATAAGTATCTTAGACATATGCAGGAAAGCCTTTTGTTTTTAAATATGTAAAGTTTGAGCAGAGATCCAGATGCAGCCCTCATGTAACTGGAATAATATTAGCTGACTGAGTTGTTGGGATGTATGTATATCCTGAGCTTGCATAATGGTAGGATTGGCAGGAAGTAAAACCTCAAAGAAGGTGGGATTTGATCCTGTTAGGTGCTTTGCTACAAACATTGCAAGAGCCATTAGCTTTGATGTCTAAATGCACCCTGCTGGTGGGTCTGATGGACGAGTTTCCCCAGAAGTGATTCAGGAGTGATTCAGAGGTTAAGGTGTAGTTAAATGAAACACAGTTGTTTATAGTGTATATTAACTGACATTGACTGAGCTGGTTAATGATCTGTCCTGATCTAATCTTTCTCCCTGGAATTAAAAGTAAATATGTGTACCTTTAACAATTTGAAAATTGCTTATATCGTGTGTGTTGGTCTTACGTTTGGGTTTTTTTTTTTAACATCTGATAATATATTGTATTAGAAGATTATATAAACTGCACTCACTGAGGAATAAAACATACTTCTCAAAGGGTACTGAGCTGTGCTAGGCCTGTGCAGGCGAGCCAAGTCAAAGGGTGGGATAATACCACAGTTGTTCTCTTAGCAAATGAGAGAATGGAGATCTTAGGGCTTGAGAACATTTGTTCAGGAAGTGCAGGAAGTAGTGAGAAATGTACCTCCTGTGACTGGATTAGTAGGAGACATAACACCTCAAGAAATGTTGCAGATCTAGTGAAGGAACTTAGGAAATGCAAAGATAAGCAATGGAATCCGTGTACAGGAATGCAGAACAAGCAAGTGGGGAGTAAGGACTGTGAACTACTCACTAGGGAAGAGAACATAAAGCAACAAAAGAAGTCTGGGAAAAGTATTGACAAAAACACATGAGGTAGAGAAGGTACTGAGAAAATCCATAAGATGAAAAAGGAAAACAAAACTAGGAAAAAGACTTTCTTTCTCCAGGACTTTTGGAATAGTCAATTCTTTCCTGAACAGGAAAGATGAAACCATATTAGCAATATTTTATGCATTACCAGATCAGTTCAGTATGCACACTTCTGCTTTTATATATATATACACACATATATATAAAAAATATGCTTTTTTTTCCCTGCTGTAGAATTAATGATGTTAATCATGACTGCTGTAGAGTAATTAAGAGGTAATACGCCAGACTAAGTGTCGGGAAACAGGGAAATAAACCGGCTTGGATGAGACTGCTGTGATAGAATGGAATGAAGAGAGTCAAGAAAGTTGGGTGTCACAGTTCTGTTCTGAATTCTTAGGGAGGCATAGGATTACTTTTTGTTTAAGATTACTCAATAGATAAACCATTATCAGGTGAAAAAATAAGGTAAGAAGGACGCTCCAATGTTCTGTAGAGAGATATGTTCAGGAGTTTGGACAATTCACTTAGCTTTAGATACCTTTTTTGTAAGATAGATGTAAGTCTTACCTATCTACTGAAGGCATATTGGTGCCTTTTGAAACAGGAGAAACGTAATTTATTTCAAAAGCAGAGGCTTACATTTCTTCCTATGTCTGTCCATAACAGAGCAGAAAATGCATGGATATTTTCCATCTGTGGATAAGAATAGGACACTGTCCCTTTCTCCTTTGCCTACAAGGACATACCATCCTCTGACAGTTTTTTTTCTTAAATCTTCCTTTATCCTTGTTGATGCCTAAAACCCCTTTGTTATCTTCCAGAAGCTTTGGTCATCACTGTGGAATTCTTGGTATGCGAAGGCAGAGCGTCAGGGTAGAGAGAGGATCCTTGCTGAACTGCTGTAATCATGAAGGCAGTGATTTTAGTTGTCCTAATCATCTTCACTTTGCTGTCTTCAGGTAAGGCTGATGCAGAGAGGGCAAGGGGAGGGTGATCTCTGGATGGGTTACCAGGGTACAAACTCTAATATATGCTTTGGTTTTGTTTTCTTCTGTGCAAAGAAGTTGCAGCTAGAACTGTGCCTGTGTTTTCCATTTGCCTGTATTTTTCCTGTTTGATCATTGGCAGATGGTGACCCTGTGAGTTTTGAAGCAGCTTGATACACTAGTGTCTTAGCAATTCAGTGAAGGTTTGTTTCATTTGAATAGTTGAGATCTATGTACTCATTAACGCTGTCAAAAAGAATCAGCGTATTTCAAGCTCCTCCCCTCTAAAACCACAATGGGTTCTTTTTGGAATTGCGCTGTATTAACATCAAAACAAGTGGAGTACTAACGTCTGATGGTAGGCTCAAAGAAATAAAAACTTCAATGTTTTAATTGTAAACATTATTTATTCCAGGCATTTTTTTTTTTTTTTTAATATTAATAGATTGCCAGAGAGCCAAATGCTTGAACATCTGGAAATGACAATGTTAGAGACGTTGAAGTGTTTTCTATGCATTCAGTCCTGGTTTTCATTACATGGTATAAGTTTCTCTCAAGTTACATAACTGCATGCTATTTTTATATACAATAATCACTTTTTTGCTCCTTAAATGCATAGTATCTTCTTGAGATGTATATGATGATATATTTCAGAGTAGAAGGAATTTAATAGGAAGAATAAAAAATAAGTCATAGTACATCCAAGATGGAATAATTGGAGCCTAAAGCAAAAGCGGAATTTTTGTTGACGTGTCTGGACTACTTAGGAAGTAACTTCATAGTCAGTTTAAACCAGCCAAACCCCTCACCTTCCCTTGGGAAAGGAGGTTTCACCTTCTCCTTCACTTCTAATTGCACCTTCCTTCTTTCTGCTGGCACTGTTTTGTTTTTTATTGATTGCTTAGCTTTCAGCTGGAAAAAGATCTGACAACTAAATAGTTCAGTTCTGCTACAAATTTATAGTGTTCCTGTGCAGGTTATTTAATCTCTTCGTTTGGCATCCAGAAATGAAGATAATTCGTACTAGCTTCCTGCTTGGAAGAGGTAGGATTGTAAGGATTTTGTTGTTAATGCTTATTCAATACTCTGTTCAACATAGTACATGATTCTTCATTGTCAATAACCAAATTGTCCCTAGTTTCTGTCTTTCATTATGGGTGTTGTCATGGAAGATAAACCCCTCTGTCTTGAGGGAAGTGCAGCAAGTTACTCATCATTGTTGAGGCAACACTTAGACGGTACACTGTTTAAAAACAGAAGAAGGTCCAAGTCACAGAATTGCCATCATAATTTCAAATAGTCCCGGATCCTCACTTCCTGGATTGGGGGATTTGGTTTACTCTATTACAAAGTAGCATTTAGTTGTGAACTTCTTCCAACTTAAAACTTTCATACTTCTCCTCTGAGCTAGGGTTTTCTGACCCTGCAGCTCTGATGTGGGTCTTGTTATTTAAAATCAGGTAGTCCTTGTCTGGAAAGAAAATGGGGAGGAAATACTGTTCTAACAAAGCATGGCACTCAGTGGGAAATGCTGTTCTAACAAAGGATGTAGCTCAGTGCTGTGAAGCAGCTGGGACTTGGAACACCAGTTACTGTCTGTTTAAAAAACAACAATCCCCTCTTTAAAGACTAAATTCAACAAAGCTAAAGCAACTTGATCCCCTACCAACATGCTCCCTCCATACTTCTTGTTCTTTTGCAGGCTTAGTTCTGACTCGCTAGAACTTTGTAACAGAAACATGAAGATTGGTATGGATAAATTATGCATGGGAATATGTGTGTATGAAAGCACCAGAGGAAACAGCTGAGCAAAGGCTAAAAGAATGGCCTGTATTGATAACCAGGGACACAACTGACAGCAATAAAAGTGGGGAATGCATTGTTTACACCAAGAGTAGAAGGTCTGTACTCTGATAAGGTCATATCACAGTTGACTTGTTAGGAGAAAAACTGCAGTCTGATAACAGGAAGATGGTAACAAAGTTACCCTACACCGTAAGTGCCATTCCTCTTCTTGCTATCCCAACAGCAAAACAGACCATAGCCATAAAGATGTCCTTGCCTTTGTTTCCTCTTTTTGGGTGGCAACCTTGCCTAAAATTCATGGAGGATGAAGCAAGGAAGATTCTGAGGCAAAAGAGCATACCATAATAATTGTTGATTCTTGAAAAATCTACCTAAAAGCTAGTTTGTGGCTGCCAGTCAAGAGGAAGCAAAGAGACATAGTAAACATTCAACAGCAAACGTTCATTGTCTGCCGTGTTGGGAAAAAGTGATCTTGGTCAGACTGCTTGGGCACATCTCTTGGGCGCCTGTAAGTATGTGGATATGTGAGTGTGAGTGAGCAGAATCAGATTAGTTCTGAAGTTAATATAAAGTAAAATAACCTGCCTCTTCCATAAGGTCTTAAACTGAGGGTTTTTTTCACTAAATCCTACAAATCTTGACTTCTTTTTTGATCCTACAGGGAAGAAATTCCGATGGTGCACCCTTTCTGACTTAGAACAGAGAAAGTGTGCTGAACTGTCCAAAGCACTTATGGCTGTGCTGCCCCTTGCTACTGCCAATTCGTTTGCTAGGATTTCTTGCATCAGAGCCCACAATACATATGACTGCATTGATAAAATCAGGGTGAGTTCACAGAGATTTTAGAACTGATTTTTGAGTCCAGATCCTCTTTTGAAGAAGTAACTGGTAAACAGAATCTGTGGGAGAATAAAATCATACTGAAGTGATGGTATTGCATATAGGACAAAGTACATGGTAGCTTGAGAGGCAAGAATTAAAACCCATGAGCATTCTGCTAGATGTACTATTTTACCCCAGCTAATGTCCTTGCAATCTCCAGGAAATAATTTAAAAGTTGCTTGGAAATAAATTGACAAAACCAAACTACTAAATTAAAACTTGCTCAGAGCATTCCCCTTGCTTGTGGGTTTTGGTCCTACTCTGACTATAATGAATATTTTCTCTTCCCTTTCTTCCCTGCTATTTTTAGCCCTTAGTCAGTCCTTTCTGAAGTAAAGAGCAAAGCCTTTTTTCATATAAAAATCTTCAATTTGAATAAAATTAGACATCAGACCTTTTGTAAGTGTAAGCTCTTGTAATTGGTCTTGTAAGCTCTTGTAATTGGTCTTGAAAGCTCTTGAAATGAAATTTTCATAATGCTATATGCTTTGAAAAAAATCGCTAATGAAAAAGGAAGATAAGCATTTGCTGTGTAACATAAAACTTGATTGGGATAGAGAAGTTCAGTTTCCATTTTCATTCAGTCCCAGTTGCCTTCAATGGAGTCCAGGTCTGACCTGGAAACCAAAACAAGAAAACCTTTCTTGTTGGTTCAGGGAATAATTTATTTTGTGTTTTCATTCAGTCCTCCAACCCTTGTTAATAGACTTCAGTTCCACTTTCCAGGATAGAGAAAGATTATAGCCAGGAGAACTCTGAGAAGGATTTGGGGTCTTGGGGGAGCAGTAGGAGGAAATAGGGGTTGTCTTTTTCTTCAGATGGCATCAGAACTGTGTTTTTGGAATGGAAGGTCCAAAGAAGAGGTGAGAAAGGATATTACTGGAAAAGAACTGGTGTTTTTTGAAGGTAACTCAGCCTTCATTGCTAACATTTCACAATGCTTAGTAGCAGGGATTCAAATAAAAACAAAGCAAATGCTTGTAAAAATCACTGGTTACTACTTCTGAGGCACAAACTCTGCTCTTGAAGCTGGTCTGCTTGTTTCCCTGTAAACAAACTTGTTTTGAGGGTTTTGCTGTTGTTTTTAAGGTGAATAAAGCAGATGCTGCCTCCTTGGATGCGGGAGATGTTTACTCTGCTGTAAAGCTATATGGTTTGACAGTGGTGGCAAAGGAGATCTATGATCAAGGTAGGTTCATAAAGCAAAAGAGTAAGCTGTGCTTCTGATTTGGCTAATAAATTGCTGTGCAGTGAAAGGCAAAGTTCAAGAATTCTTGAAAAAAAGTCTGTGTGTTTTCATTAACTTTATAGGTGTATGGAGGTTACTAACAACTCTTTCTAAAATACTTAGTGATGAATGAGATTACCAGTGGTGCTTTCTATCTAATAGCCTTTCTGCCTGTGGTACTGTCACTATGACAAACTGTCTGTCTGTACCCTGCACGCAGCGCTAGTGTACTGGAGTTCTTCATCTTGTAGGGAATAAGAAGGGTTTTATTCCATCTGTGTCAATTCTTATGCCATGCTCTTTACTAGTGTAACTGAACATTTACTAGCGGTTCTTTAAGGGATTAGCTTCTCTCATGAATTAATTCTCTCCTTCTCACGCTAAAGAGACAAGAATATAAGGTGGAGAATCTTGTTATGGTAAGATTCCTCTTCATTCCTGGCAGACCTAACAGTCTGTGCAGGGAATGATTTATAAGGCAAGAATAAATAAGTCTGAGCCAAAATCAAGCATACAGTAGAAAATAACTTGTGGGACACGAATCTGAGAAGGAAGCCAAATTAGGAGAAGGTTCTAGGAAGATACTAATAAGGGGCTGTATGAGAACAGAATAGAATTTTGTTTTGGCTGAAGAACCATGAAAACATAGTGGAATTGATATGTTTCTGGTGGTAAGTATGTTCTGAGGATAAGACATAGGAGTTCTTTCCAGTACAGTACCTAAACAGTGTGATACAAATGTTCAAAATTCTTGAGAAGCAATTGCATTGGATGATGGAGCTGGATGATCTTGTAAGCCTTTTCTACCAGATTTTTATCTTCTTGCTTTGCACATCACTTGCATCATTCAGTTTGACAAGGTGCCATGTACCCGGTATATGGTAATGTTCCTGGCATAAGTACCTATGCTTCATATGCCTAAGATTTGTTTTTTCCTTAGCAATGTTCACAGAAGTAGTTGGACTCCTGTACACAGATGGAAGTTGCAGAATTGGGATTTAGTTATTTCTCTTGCATATTTTGTCCTATTGCAGGAAATTGTGTGTTTGCTGTGGCCATTGCCAAACGAGGAACTCTGGATATCCAGAGGCTACGAGGTGCACGCAGCTGCCACAATGGAGCCAGATGGACATCAGGCTGGAATATTCCACTTGGTTTTCTCCTTGCAAGAAATGATCTTTCCTGGGATGAGGCACAACCTCTGAGCCAAGGTGGGTGATAGGAGCCATAGGGCTATGTCTTTGCCCTCAGCAAAAGTGAGTGAAATGCAAGCAGATGTAGAATGAACTGAGCTATGTGGAAACTGAACGGCTTTGTGGATGAGATATCCTCTTGGAGTGTTTTTGATACTGGCTCTTAACTCTCTTTTGAACTTTTCTAGTGATCTCAAAGCAGCAGAATTGTTACCAAAACAGAAAATCTTTGTGTTCTGTATGCAACAGGGAACAAATCTTTGCAATATCTAGCCAGCACAAGGATGGTTTCAACCAAGCAAAATTTGATCACTCTGTCTCCAGAAAATGTTTCAAATCTGAAGTTTAGACAATGAAGCTGCATTTGCTGATTTTTGTTTTTTTTAAAGCACCGTAGACTTAGTTATGCAAGTGATATGTTTGGCCCCTTTTCTTTCTTCCATTTTTTCCCATTTGACGTTTTTCTTTCTTTTTGTTTTTTTTTTTTCCCCTACATCTGCAGTAATCAGTGAGTATTTCAATGCAAGTTGCATCCCTGGGATTGGTGGTGCTGCTCCTCGACTGTGTGCTCTCTGCCAAGGACAAAAATCCTATGTCAGAGACAAGAACCACTTCTGTGAGACAAGTGGTAACGAACCCTTCTATGATTCTGAGGGAGCCTTCAGGTAAGCTCTGTGACACTTGCACTGAATTTACCTCTGGGGAAAAAGAACTTGTGAGGGAGGAAAAGCCAGGTGACATGTTAATAGGATGGCATTTGTCTTCCTGCAGGTGCTTGAAGAATGGAGTAGCAGATGTTGCCTTTTTAGATCATCTAGCAATTCTGAGTGCCACAGGTGATCCCAAAAACTCAGATTCCTTTTAATGTCTGGCTGTGCTCTTTCCTGCATGGGAGTTTGGGGGATATGCCTATCTTTTTGTTGTTTCCCGGGAAAATTCAATCCCTGCAAGCAGTTCAGTGGTATTTCTTGTCTGTCCACACAAGTCAGAAGGAAACAGAAAAGGAAAGAGTAAGTGAGCAATAATTGTTCACAGGAGATTCTCAGAATGGGAGCAGACAGATGTTTTTATACCGGTGATTTTTTTAGCCTAAAGTCTCTGACGCAGCTGTCACTATTTGTGCTGTCTGAGTTATAAGGTTCCTTTTAAAATTCAGTGTATTGAGCTGCTAAAATGTGCAGTTCCTGTATACCTGTTTTGTATTTTTAAACTCAGTTGAGCTCTGTATTGACGTTTTTGAAGGTAGTTAGCAGTAGTATTTGCAGGTAAGTATTTTTAAACAAACATATTTACAGGGGTACAGTTTAAAGAGTATTTTGGAGTACCTCTGGCTGGGGTCCCTCTCTTTGTTAAGAGAAGAGCATATCAAAGACAACTTTCCCAAGTGTGCTTGGTACACTGTGCTGCTTGCATAATCTTTGAGCAACCTCCTGTGAAAAATGTTTTACCTTCCATCTCTGTGCCTGCTGCCAAGTCATATCTCACTTCATAGATTCATGAGTGTCCTGTTGTTTCAGAGTCAGAACAACAGGAGTATGAACTCTTATGTCCTGACGGGACTACAGCTGAGCTGACTGAATACAGCACCTGCAACTTGGGCAAGGGGCCTGGCCGTGGCATCATCACCCGCCACAACTTCCAGAAGATCACCAACAAATTTCTTACCATGATCCAAGTGAGTGGATATTATAAGCTGTATATCTCCATACACAGGCTTTTCTGCCATCTTTGTGTGGAGATTACTGCCCAGTTTGCCTTCTTTCTTGAGGAATTTATAGTTAGTATGAAAAAGGACTAAAATCAGTTGTTCTGGGGAAGGATCCTGCTTCTGGAAGAAGGTTCTACTTTTCTCTAAAGCATTCTTCTGTAGAAGGGTGGGAATAAATAAGTAAAGAAAGGGAAGATGCTGTAATGCCCAAACTGGAAAATGGCTAATAGTGTTCATCCTGCCCTGGAACTTCTGTGAAATCTTATGTCGCTGAGGGAGACACATAGGTTCAGGCAGGGTTCACCTTTGTTCCTCTCTTTTTCTTGACTTATAAATAGTATCTGTTACCTTGACTTCCAGGAATCCCTTTGAAGCTGAACCTGAAATGCATATTTAAATGCAAATTTAAAGAATTTATGAAGCTATCCAGCCCTTAAAATAGTGAGCAGACAGTGAATAATTCAGCCCAGTGGGCTGTCACGCAGACTCTGGTAGATAGCAGTTGTACAAAATCTCTTCTTTATTGAGAGATCTTCATATGCCTTTGTCACTGCACTTACACATATCTTAGCTGTGTTCTCCCACACATAGCAATGGCTATGCAGCAATGTTCCTAGTACACTTCTCAGTGCTTTCTTCTCTTCCAGTACCATCAGGCTGAACAGAGCAACTTTGCACATGGTACTTCCCCATCATAAAGCGCAAGATATCTTGCACCCCTTTACTGCACTGATCTTTATTACAAATGTTTCTCACTCAGCTATACTCCCTCAGTTACCTTTCCAGGGTAGGAGACATGGAGCACAGCCCAATAAATTGGAATAACAAAGATGGGGAAAAAAGTCTTCAAAAAAATGAATCATATAATGCTTTTAGGACTGGAACCATCCACTCACTGCAGTAACTGTGGGCTTTGTCCTAGTGTGGTGGAACCCTGAGTGCTATCTTACAAATCATTGATATGAAGGGAGGGGAGGATGAGGCTGCCTGCTACTGGAAGGATGAAAAGATTTGTTGCAATTAAAAATGTTTTTCTTGTCCTAGCGCCTCTTTGGGCGAAAAGGAAAAGAAAGAGCCAGGTTTGAACTATTCACTTCAGCACCCTTCGGGGGAAAGAACCTGCTGTTTCGGGATGCCACTCAGCACCTGCAGCTTCTTGAGGAGCAGCTAGAGATTGCCTATGTCCTTGGTCTGGATTATGTAGCTCTCCTTAAGGGACTTGGCCATGAAGGTGAGAAGCTTTCCAGAGGACTGTAGCTAAGGAAAGGGAAGAGAAATTTCTCTTTCCATGTTATTCCTCCCTGCCAGGCACAAGTGCATAGAACCTAAATGTCCCCTTAGCAAAGAACAGATTTGTGCATAGGTGACATGATCTCACTGTACTCCTTCCTTCTAATGCAGGGAGCTCTTTGGACAACAGTGTTGTGCGCTGGTGCTGCATCAGTGATGCTGAGCTTCGCAAATGTGAGGAGTGGGCACTAAGCATCAAGTCTGACCCATTAGTCTGTGTCCAAGCAAATTCCATGACCAAATGCATTGAAATGATCAAGGTAGGAGACTCCCTCTGGTCAGAGTATATGTAAGACTACACAGGGTGTGTATGTCCTTGTCTGAGCTGAACAAGACAAAAAACAGCTTGCACACCAGAGGAACCAGTGGGAATGAGGGGGAATTTATGCAGGGGAATTTTCAACCAGCGGGGAAGTACAGCTGCATGGTTACACAGTTCATGCAAATCCTGTTGTTATTTTCTATAATGCTCTTGGCAGAGTAGCGAGGCTGATGCAGTCACCCTGGATGCAACGCATGTCTACATTGCAGGGAGGTGTGGATTGGTGCCTGTAGCTGTAGAATGTTATGGTAAGTTCTCATGTGACCTTAGTTAGCATAAGGGAGGGAATCAAAAAAGTACCATTAAAAAGATAGTTAAATTTCCACAGTTTGTGATGTTTTGTGATGGAAGCAGGAATCAATATATATGTCCAAATACTCTTCCCAGCTCTTCCACTAACTGGCTCTAGCATTTGGTCCAGCTGTTTTATTATATCTCTTCTGTAAAAGGGACAGATATGCTGACATGGCTCAAGAGGATTGCAAGGTTTTTGATGGCATGCTGCCATGTGATAGGAATGACAGCAGTCACAAGATCCTTAATGGTTGTCTCTCCTCTCCAGGGGGAGATTGTGCCCTGGCTGCTAAGAGCATGGATGAAACAGGGAAACTAATTCATCTTAAGCACAAAGGTAACAGGACAACTTTGAGAAGGCAAAGGGTTTAGATTTTCCTGAGGCTTCCTCTAGGATTTATGTAGGAATGCATTTGCCTGTTGGTTTGGGAAAGAAATTGCTGTGCATGTTAAGCAGGAACTTTACAGATACTGCTGGGCGGCTAGGACACGAGCTTTGTGGCTAAGCAAAGAACGCAGATCCTCTACTGTAACTGAAGATATCATGACAGGATGAGGAAGACGGGGGCTGTACTTGTCTGGAATACTTAGTTGCCCTGGTATAACTGGTTGTTATTGCTTTACAGCACTGCCACCAGTTTATGCTGTTGCCCTAGCTAAGAAAAATGCCAAACAGATTAACATCCGTAACCTTAAGGGAAGGCGATCCTGTCACAGTCACCTGTATAGTCCTGGAGGATGGTTACTGCTTTCCAGATACACAGTGGGAGCTCTGGAGAATGATACTGAGAACTGTGACGTTGGCTCTGGTAAGGGCTGCTCCGGGTTATCTGTTGACTAGACCATGGAAATCTGAAGCCCCAACTTTGGGAGTAAAATGGAGATGGGGCCATGAGGATTTGACCAGCAAGTGATGATTGCAGTCTCAGAGGGTGTTGAAGCAGCTCTTCCTCCTATATGACTGACTATGTGTGATTCTTCACACTATTTAGCCCTCTTCTTGCTAGCTGTTAGGATGGAATTCCATTCCTGTCTTTTCTCATGCATGAAGAGGCTTTGGAATACCTTGCCCTAATCTCACATCAGTTTTCCCTGCTCAGTTTATCAGAATTACTTTTGGAAGGGCTGCATGCCAGGAGCAGATGGAAACCTGTGCAAAGTGTGCATTGGAGACAGTGAGGTGGAAGGGGCTCGAGTATCTAGCAGATGTGCTGCAAGTCACAACGAACGTTACTATGGCAATATGGGAGCACTCAGGTAAGCCTTTTGTCAGAGTCACAAGTGCAGAGCAATAGCCAGAATTGTCTTATTATTTTGCTAATGGTTTTCTTTGGAGGGTTTTTTTTTTGTTAATCAACTGGGTAAGAAGCAGTGTAGGGTACAGGAGGTAATTAAATAGACTGGAGATATTAAAAAAAGCATAGCTGAAGCAGAGGCAGAGAAGAGTATTAAAGGTGAAAGCACTCTTATATAACTCATATATACTCACTCTTATATAACTCATGTATAATGCATTTAGTTGAGTTACATTCTCTTTCCTGGCTAGGCACAGGTGAGGCTGCATGAACATTGTACCACAACTTTGACTTGGGAGCTGCTTTAAGGGATGAAAGGGGTTGTCTTGTTAAATATGTGAACACTGTCCACCAAGGTCTATACTGACATCACTAACTTGTTCCATATAACCACCAAGTAATTACAGATGAAAAGAATACTTCCAGCTACTCCTGTTTTAGCTTCAGATGTCCGAACATCAGTCGTCGTGTATTGGCTGTCTCTGATAACTTCTTGTGTTTTTTCCTGCACTAGATGCCTAGTTGGCAATCCCAGTGGAAGAAGCTTTGGAGATGTAGCTTTCCTGGAACACTCTAACCTACTCCAGAATATAGAGAGTGAGATGCAGATATTCTCTTTTCATTTGAGAATGTTCATTAGCATCAGTTATTTCCCACACAGTGACTATCACTCATGAGGATCAGCTTTTGCAGGTTTAATCTAGGTCCATGAAGTTGTGTTTGTGACTGGATAATTGCAAGAACCTTCCTGCATGTAGGTGTTCCAGTAAAGCTCAAAGTTGAGATACTCTTCAGTTTTAGAGAGGAAAAAATCACTGAGTGTAAAGATCAAGGTGTGTGTTGGGGGTGGTAATCATCCTTGGAGACTGCACTAATTTTTGGAAATATCAAATCTTTAAAAAGCAAATGACTTTTCCCACCAGACTTTTTCCCATAGGCAGCCATAGTGCGTGTACCCATTGTTTTTGATCAGAGTTCAAGAATGAAAATGGCAGATAATGGCAATGCTGTGGGCTGTTTGTGCTGGGGGATGTTCTATGGCTTCATTGTGACATGGCAACTTCCTCATGTTGTTTCATAGGTGCTTATGGAATAAACATTCCAAATAGCTTAATAGGTAAAAATACTGCAAATTATATTGCCTTTCACAGTTTCTAAAACAACATTGTTACTACACTGTGAAATGTTTAAATTCTTCTGGGAAATACTGATGTTTGCAACAGTCTAGCAATTGGATTTTGTTGAAGAAAATGGTTTTGGTTAGAGTAGCTTAAATCCCCTCAATTTATCTTAAACTATGACTACTGCTCTAACAGCCAAAATATGCTGCCTTTTCATAGAGGTGAAGAGAAAGGGAACCCCCATTTTGTTTGGCCTAATAAAGCACACTGAAATTGTAATTTAGGCAATTTCAGTAACAGAAGAGGCTTTTCTAAGAGAGGAATCTCTCTAAAATCAAGTGGAGGTATAAGGGCGTGGAAACCCACAGAATTCATGCAGCAATGAGCAGTTTGTTTGGGGAAGCAAAGGACATGCAGGCTGAATTGCTTTGTTTTCAGAAAGTGATCTGATTACAGGTGAAGATGAGGCATGATAAGCTGTTCATATGCCTTGATGTTACTCTAGTTTTTAATTGATAGGTGCAGCTTAAGTTCACTGACCTGTTTCCTCAGTGAAAGCGCTACCCTGTTCCTAATAAATGACCATGTAGCATGCTGCATTTGTTTTGAATGTATTGACTAAACTTCTTCCTCTAGCTTTTAACATTTTGCATGAGATTCACCCTGTCTTCTGCTTTCATTTTTTTAAAATGATTTGCTTTCACATCATCTTCTTTTCAGATCTGGACAGCTCTGGTTGGGCAAAAGGTTATACTGCGATTGACTTTGAACTCTTGTGTCCGGATGGAACGCGTACTGCAGTCACAGAATGGGCAGGCTGTAACCTTGGCCCCATTCCCCCCAGCACAGTCATGACCCGGCCAGTCACTGTCACTAAAATCTATGACTTTCTAATGAAGTCCCAGGTAAGGCAGATAACAGGGAAAAAGTTCGCATGTTATCACTTGTTATGTATGACTGCTGAAAACCCTTTCAAGATCAAAAACTTTATATACTAAATACATAAAGTGGCTTCAGGTCCAATATGAAAGAATTAAGAATGTGCATAGGAGATTGAGAAAATAATTATTTGGATTCTCTAAAGGGGCATTTTGGCACCAGCTGCTGTTCCGCAGTGGTCATAGTTTTGCTGAGAAATCAGCCACTGCAAAACTGCATCTTTTTGTACGAATAAGGAAAGTGCTAGGTGAAAGTGGAACCTTTTTTCTGCTAGGTCTTGCTATAAAACTAAGGGTCACCAGTTTAACATTGCTATTTATGATCCAAGCTGTGGAACTTATTTCTTTTCTGTTTAGGAATCTCTGGGAAGCAAACTGGATTCTGAATTCCATCTCTTTCAGTCATGGAAGTATGGTGAAAGTGATCTGCTTTTCAAAGACACTACTCAGTACCTTGTTCATGCAAGTCACATGAGCTATCAGGAAATTCTTGGAGTGTCTTTCTTTCAACTGGCAGAATCAGTGCTTAATTGTACACCTGCAGGTGAAGTCAAGTTCTGAATTTTGCGTTAGAGAAAAATGCAAAGCTGGAAGCCTTCTGTGCATAGCTATTGCCCTTTTGTTTAGACTGAATGAAGAAGTATGTTCTACATAATCCTGTTAGTAATTTTCCAAGGAGTACTGTCTGGAGCTCCTTTAGAGCCTCTTACAACTCCTATCCAAAAGCACTGAAACTGGAGCTCTGCAGGAACAGAATAACCAATACATTTTAGAGCAAATAATGAGGTTATTGAAACAGAACTCTTCACTCCTACTATGAAATTTTTACCTTCAATTCCAAAGATCAGTTCTGGGAAAAGGGAGTGTAATGTTCATTTGGATATGCCAAACTTGGGAAAAAGATAAGAAGTTTTATATTTAATTCTTGAATTAACCTCAGAATAAGTTAAATAATTTCCTTTTTAAGAGTGCACCAGAGAACTCGGGATGAAAACCTTTATAAACTTAAGGGATGGCTTTTTCATTATTTTCCACTGAAAGCTGTGTGAAGTATGCATTTAGCTATGATGAAAACTGAAACTGTCTATGAGCCAGGGTCAAGTTGTTTTGGGATCTGAAAATCTGTATTGAAGTAAATGAAGATTACACAGTAAGTTAGACTTCTGTGAGTCTAAGTTGTTAAAGAACTGAAATTGAAAAGGGGAATTTTACCTCTATTCTGCTGTTTTGGTGAAGTATCTGAAGAATTTGTTATTTTTAAAGCCGGTAGCATCTTTAAGTGTAACTTTCTTACTGGTTTGTAGGCATCTTAGACTTCTGCAAACAGGATATCTGTGCATCCTCATCGAACTGACGTCTAATACAGAGGCTTTGCAAGGCACATACACCACCATCAATGTTGAAAACAAACAAGTATGCAAGTCCAACCTATCCAAAGCAATCAGCAAGGAAACAGTCATCTCTAGAAACGTATGCTGAATACTCTCGTCTTTTTTTTTTTTTTTTTAAAGCAGATTTTATGTTTATGATAATGTAATACCACTCATATGTCACCCCTTTCTTGTTTGGAGCATGGCATCATGTGGAACAGCACAGACCAGTCTGCATAACCCACAACACAGAACTAGGATCAGCGATTCTGTACAACTACTATGGAGAAATCAGCATTTTTGTGGAAATCGCAGGGCTGATACCATGGACTAAAGTACAGACTCTCATGAGTGGCACAGGTTAGTCAGTAGCAGTTTGCCTTGCTTATCTTATAAACAGTTCCCATGCAAAAAAAAAAAAAAATCAGCTGACATTTTGGCAGTTGCAGCATTGTCCTCGTATGTCCGTGATTCTGGTTGCAGCTAGATAGTCTTTGCTGAATACACATATATGCTATATGCTATAGGTTGTATATGTAATTGCTGTCAGAATCAGTAGTCTTTTCTGCTTTCAACTGGGAAGAATGTATTTGCTTTTTTAACCAAGGATTTATACTAGCAAATCAAAACATTTTTCTCTCACAAATTAATGTATTAAGGCATCTAATAGCCAGCAGAACTGGATGCTTGCAGCCTTAAGGTGAAGGAAAGCAATGGATATTAATCCTTGTCAAAAACTCCAACCATTACTTTATAGTACTTTGACACTTTGAATCTATGATTCTATGAAGTGTCAAAATATGATTTATCAATTAAACATCATTGGTTTTACAAGCAGAAATTGCCTGAATGTGATATAAAGTCCTTTGAACAGAACGTATCATGTATTCGATTTGCGTGTGAGTGGATAAAGATTTAGAGTGGATGGCTCTTCATGGGCAGGGCTCATTTCAGTTTGGGAGAGTGTTATCACCTTCTGCTCCCACGCACCCTGAACTACGCAAGGTTAAGATTTTTAATTACAAAAAAAAAATTAAAAATCCTTCATCCAAAACTTTCCAGTCCTTGCTACATATATTGCAGTTGTATTAACCTCCGCTAGCAATAAATGAGATGCAAATAGTGAAGACAGGTTAGTTGCAATAGAGATAAAGTCAATGTATCTGCCATATAAAGGAAAAAAAATTTAAAAAACCTGCACCAAAAACAACAAAGTGAGGCAGCAATACTCAGTTGTAAAATACACTGCTAAGAGTACCTGGTTTTGAACAGTTCATTCCATGCCTAGCTTGTCTTTCCTGTTCTTTGACTTACAGTCGCCCCTCTCCTCCCCCTTTCCACTTCCTGAGAAATAAAAAATTTGCACCCTGACCAGCAGCAAGGGTTTTAGATTCAGCGCGTCTTAGCCAAGATTGTTCTCTTTCTCATTTATCCCATTGTTTGACATTGACTAATCAAACAACACAGAGAGGATGCAAGTCCAAACTCATCTACCTTTCGGATAAAAAGGGGAGAGGTAAACGGTGAATGAAGCAAGTGCCAGTATGGTAACAGAGCAAAATCCTCATACTGTGTTGTGGCCAGCAAGCTGTAGGCCTGAAGAAGCGGGCGGGCAGGCGGGTGGAACCACAGGATGCTTGTTTAGGTCTCTGAGGTGCTCCCTTACTTTCTTTACTGGAGCTTACATGCCATCTGCGGGACCCACATAACACTGCACTTCAGTCAGAGAAGAGAATTAAGAGACAGAGTGAAGCAATGCATCTGCCAGCTTAGTTTTGCCAAGAGCAGCATAGAGCTGAATAGCAATAAATTGAAAATCTGGGTTACACACAAGATTTTATGAGTTGGAGGGGTGGGGGAGTTGTTTTCTGGCACAGACATTACAGATGCTTAATAGGCCTTTTTGATGTTTCTATGCTTCAGCTTTGGTTTAAAAGCACCAGTCTGATGCCTTGCACAGACTGTAGTACATGAGCCATTGGCCTGCTTCAGCTTTGAATCTCCCAGTTCTGAACCTAGCAGGAACTGTCTGTGCTGTTTGGCTCCTGCTACTCTACTACCTTAAGAGATGGATGCTATGAATAGTAGCTAGGATCATACTTAAAATCCCCCAGGTCTGTTTCTGTTCCTGTTAAAGTATGGCTACGGATGAATGAACGCCAGAATTGCTGCTCCATGCCTCACCAAAAGCCCACCCAGTTACTTAACGGTGTTAATCTCTTTGGAGATTTGACCTCTTTCCCCCATGTATGCAAGACAGATATAGCATGCATTTTTACTGATACAAGCCTAAAGAAGGCCTTAAAAAACCTGAAGGGTTCTCAGAAAAATTTATTTCCATAAATTAAAAACACACACAAAAGAAACAGTAAAATTTTAGATTCACACAATATTGAACAGAAACAAAATGCCAAGAGCATGATGGAGGCTAATGGCACAAGTGTACAAATTCTCATTGAGCTATTTGTTAACTTGATAGCATCATATAGACTTTTAATCCACAGTTACCATCCATATTCTAGAAGAGCACCTGGAACATAATATACCAAAGGCCCACCTTAAATCAAAAACAATAAATGAGAACTGCTTGCAGAAAATCATATCTGGCAAGCATCAGAACTCAAATGTATGCAGCCACAAGGCCAGCCAGGCAAATGCTGTAACGTACGTTGAAGTAGCCTTAGCTGCTCCAGTTGTAGCATGATGAAAATAAGATAACTTTTTTTTTTTTTTTTTTTGGAAAGTGATCTTTCTACCTCCCATAATTTAGCAAAGAGCTGCCTGGCTCTGCAAAAGTTACTACTAAGAGACAGTACATGGCAAAAGCTTTGCAATTCTTCTCAAGCTGCTCTAGTCATCATTCTGTGAGCAATATGTACAATGTCTTTCCATGATGATACAAAAAAAGTCCTCACTGGAGTGGGTTCACTTTATGAAAAGGCAAGTGTACATATCCTCCAGCTAAGGAAGTATGAAAGACGCCAAAAGATGCATCCTCTGTACTTTTTTCTTTCAATTCTCTGGGACAGAAGCAGCTCAGAGTGGCAAATACCTAGCTTTCGCACAGTCATCACTCCCAGTGTACAAGCAGCAGCCACAAGGAACAAGGCTGTTCCATGAGTGCTGTAAACAGGAACAGCAGTGGGAAAGGAAAAAAGAAAAAAGTGCACAAGTATGACTGACATCTGTATGCTGGGGGGGGGAAGAGATGCTTTGTCTCAATTAGCTTATGTCTCTATCATCATAAAAATACTAAACCAAAACAGAATAATGCTGTATATTTGGGTTTCCACAAACTAAGGTCTGGGACAAGCTAGGCAACTGCAACATCATTTTGTAACTCCTCTAATTATTGTAAACAAAAGAGAATGGAGTGTTTCTTTGCTCTGCTCTCTCTGCTGTAGCTGTTAAAAAGAAAGCTAAGATGTTATTTCAAAGCAACCAGAAACAGGACAGAACAGGGAAGCAGACAAAAAAACCCAACCCAAACCCAAAGGAAAAACCCACCACATTCTGTGTTTTGAAGCACATTAGAGGTCTGAACTTTGCCTGGACCCAAGTTTCCTCCCTCCTCACCCACACCCTTGTTTGCTTAAAAGCCCCAGTAAGGTTACAGCTCAATTGTGTCACAGCACTAGAAGCCTCCCATACTAATAGAAGATGAATGAATGCTGTGTAACGATTCCTTTCTATAGCATAAACCCATAAAAATATATATCTCACTCTTGCTACAGCTTCCAACCAGCCAATAATTGGGCTAATAAACCAGTATAGGGAAACTTTCAAACGTTTTTTAAAAGGCAGTCAACCTTTATTTTTTTAGGGATTTCTTTTTATAAAAATAAAGCGGATCAATTAAAATCTTCTCTAGCAGCCCAAATAGGTTAACCAGACCTTGCTGCTGAAATAGTATGTCAATATGTTCAAAGTTTGCCTGCCTTGTTATTTTACCCTCAAAACCCAAACACCACTACTTTAAATGTGGACTCCACTCTTTTCTTCAGTCTTCCTGATTAAAGACAATTAGCTTCCAAAACAAGAATGTAAACTTCTATGAATCCCAGCACATAAGCTGGGAGCAAAACACACCCAGATTATATTTCTTTCAAGGCTCAGGCACACACAGTGTAATAATCCTCTTCCATTTCTCTACTTTCAAAGCTCTGGAATTCAAAAGATTGCTTGTTAATTTTTAGTTTTCTGTTTGGTCAGAAAGAGAAGTGGCAGAGCAACAGAAGATAATGGTGGTACTCTCAGTCCTGCATTTATTGGGACTTTATTAAAAATACCCACCCATTAGATATTTGCTCATTTTCAAGGTAAATAGAAACTCTATTATATGGGTAGGTAAATAAGAAAGTGCAAGTTTCAAGTGACAAGTGAAAGAAAGAACAGACTAATTAAATTTGAGCATCCCAGCAATGACAGCTTTGCCTGAATAACTTCTATAGGCACTGAAAGACAGAAATTACCTGAACAGCAGCTAGCATTCATTTTGAATTATGCTTCAAGTAAGTTTAACAGAAGTTATCACAGAAGGGAGCTCTCTTCCCTCAAAAGGTATAGCTGAGAAATTGCCCAGTGCTGCATCAGATAATTACAAATGGCCTTACATAATGAAAAAAAAAAATTCCCACATGCTAGGAGGCTCTTTGTACAACACTAGGTATTATGTACAACAGTGCTGTACAGAGAATATCTAATTATGAGCTACGTGAATTGTAAATCTAAAATGGTAAAAAACCCCTCAATATGGAAAAAAAAAGTATTTTCTTGTTGGCATTAAAATTAACTTGATATTTTTACTGGAAATAAAATAACTTAAAAATTACTCTCAAAGATTTTGCTGGTGTTCCCTGCATACAGCAGCTCAGCTCAGTTAACTAAACACCTCTACGTACATATCCTGCAGCTTAACATCCTCATGGGCTAATTACCTTTTCCTCTGCAGAAGAGGTTGGCATTAGCCAAGGTTAAAAACTCTACTATTTGGGAAAAATTAGTACTGGGCACAGTTTTTTCTTAAAATATTACCTTTTTTTG